ATTTTTTAAAATGAAAGGACGTGTCCTTGGTCATAATGGCCGCAAGATTATGTTAACAATATACTCTTTCAGTCTTAAATATAAGATTATTTATACATATTAGTATAAGGGTTTTATATTTAGAATTGGATGAGTATATTTATATATTATTGAGATCAAATAAATTTTATTGAAATTATGATTGACGCGTACTGAACTGGGAGGGGACTTGAATTTGTTGTTAGCTGCAATGTTGGCATCGTTTAATCCAAAAAAGTCTTTGATTCGTTTATACCACGTTGTCATTATTGTCACTATCGTATTTAATCATCGGCAGAGCTAATTGATGCATCCCCTCCTCTTCTTCTTGCTAATATTCTTTAAATTACAATAAAATACCAACATTTATTTTTTTTTAAAAAGCTACAAAACCTAATTAAATATAACTGGTCACAAAACTACAAATAGAAGTTCATGTCACTGTATTCTGTTTCCATAATTGGCTTTTAGTACGTGTTTGGTTTGGTGGGAGCTGCGCTTAAGTGCTTCACAAATTAAAGCATCTTCCCTAACAAACGTGTATAATGATAACCCAAAAATCAGCCATTTCTTGTCCTCGCGCTCTTCAACTTTCACATCCAAACTCCTTCTCAGAAACTTCTCAGCAGCCAAACAAATTTCGATATATGTGTATTTGTACAAGTACATATACATATGGATATATATATATATAGAGAGAGAGAGAGCAAAAAGTGAGGAATAACAATTAATTAAAAAAATGTGTGTGTGGGTAGTGCACCGCCATGAACCATATTCCAAAGCAAGTTGGGTTATTAAGTGAAGGAGTGTGATTCACTAGGAGTACATATCTCAATTGTGATGCTGCCTTTCTCTCGAACTTTTCCTTTACGCGTGATTCAGAAACTCATTATAGTCCTGCTTTACATGTAAACGTATACTTGTTTATTTACTTAATTAAGCAAATGCGCAATAAAGCTACATATGTATATTCATTAATTTCTTCCAAACAAACGCGTTTTATTTTATTTATTTATTTCATCACCTTTTTCTTAAATACTAGCTAGGGTACATACGTATAAAGAACAAGCTATAGGGAGATGATGACCACCGACGCGACTGAAAAGAGAAAGCTTAGCTAGCGCTAATATACACACATAATTAAATAAGCTGGACGATTTGAATTGACTAAATGTAAAGTTTATATGATAGCTACATAGAAGCTAGAAAAGGGATACTGATCGAGAAGGAGTAGGAACAAGAAAAAAATAGTAATATGTTGAATCATGCCCATCCTAAAAAAAGCAGGAAAAGGCTTATTTGGCGAGCTGGATGTGGATCAGAGCAAGGCTGTTTAATTATGTGTGAAAATCATAAACTCCCTGGGGATGACAAATAAAACACTTATCCCTATATAGCCACCCGTTCATGGGATTTGCCTCCATTAATATTATTCCATAGGAGATATTATTAATGTGTACACACACATACACACACAGAAGCCAAAGCTCGAAGCTTAATTGTAGTCTTGATATTTTTTTTGTTTCATATTTTTCATGAAAAGCATGCATGCACGTGCTTGCCTCTATCCTCCTTCCCATGAAATAATTCTCGAAGTGAGGGAATATAATGTGCGTGGGGACGCACCGTCATGATGGTGATGATTTTCGAGCTAAAAGCTTCTTCATTATATATCTATGGACGATACATATGCACTGTGTGTGAACTGTACTGGAGCTAACTCTTGGGAAAAACAAGGCCAAGAAAGTTATATAAAGCCTTAGTTAATTAACTAGGTACCCAAGTATACTTCACATAAATTAATCGCGCCTAGCTAGTGGCTTCTTTTTTTTACTGAAAATCCGTCAATAACTAGCTAGCATGAAAGTATGAACCAAACCAAGGGGTTAGTAATAATATTTAATCATTTCAGTATTGTTCAGAAGACACCGAAAGTTACATGCCTCGGTTCTCTGCGTGCCAAACGAAGTGTACTTCAACTCGGTGCAAATTCATGCACTCTCGCATTGAAAGGTGGAAACTATACGTGTAATTGTAATATTGGATAATAACGGGATATATGAAAAGTTAATTGCTGAGCCCTTGGCAATGCAGATTATAATTAATCATATTACGTACTATGTATACGTGTCTTTGATTCTCATGCTAGTTACTTCAATCTACTAATTAATTTACGGGCTTGGGAACTGATGAATGTGTATATACTCTATATAGGACTGTGTTGATATATTTGATTTGGTTTTAAATCCTATGACAGTCATCTATTTGTCTTCCTTATTTAGTACTGTTTTCTCCCTATATTACATAATTTTCTCGCTCTCTTGTCTGCACACTTGATTTAATACCTTCATTAGAAGGGGAGTGTTTTAAAGAAAATAACACATGATTTTACACAATAATAATTAATTAACTCTTTTTAACCTTGGTGAGTGAATTAATTTTATTGACAAGAGGGGGGTGGTTTTTATAGGCGTCAAAATTCGAAAGAATGTATCGTGTTTCGCGAGGGGGTAGGAGAATGTAGCTAGCCAGGTGGGTGCTAATTATTTATTAATGTGATTCATTGTGGAATGTGGAGAATTATATTTCAGGATAAAAAAGCAGGATTGGGGGGAGGGGGGATTTTTATGTGTGTTTGGGCGAGAGGGAGTAGAGAAGGAAAAATATATGGATAAATGGGGGACCGACACGTGGCAGGGAGCATATGGTGGGGAAGTTCGTCGGGGGACGACTTGAGTGGGCGCAAAGAAGTCGCCATCCTCAAAGGGAGAGGCACTGGGAGGGATCATCCCCTCCTCGTGGGCTCTCATTGGAGTTATCCGAGTCAGCATTAGGCTGCCACGTGAGCACATCCCTTTCCGCTCATTTCTTGGTCCCGGTACAATCACTACAGGATTACACATCCATTTCACTGCTGATTCCTCTTCTTTGTAGAGCCGGTAATATGGGTTGAGCCCGCGGGCTCAACTCACCAAGTGATAAAAATTAGAACCGTTTTAAAATGGAAGTTTTGAATCTATAACGGCCAAGCCCAAACCCGCGGCGGGCTAACCCGCAGGGTTGGCGAGCCAACCCGTTTAACCATATATTTTTTTTTGGCAAATTTTTCCCTTTGCCTCTCAGTCTCTACACTCTTGGCCTAGTCCATAGTGTGACAGTGAGCAGTCCATGTCCAATAGTCTAACACGGCAACACTAACACGGTCCCGTTTTTACATTTTGCTTGCATGTCGCACTCCTCCCAGACTCCCAACTCTCCCAGACCTAGTCTCCTAGTCGCCCTCGGCCAGTCCTAACTCCCAAGTCCCAAGCCCCAAGCCCCAAGCTCTCTGCTCTCTGTCTTTGCTTTGCGCCTTTACCCTAGCTCATGAGTGATGATTGAGCACTTGATAGTTGATAGTTGATAGTGATTTGTGTAGTAACATTGTGTTTGTGACTTTGTGGTAATGTTAATTTGGATTTATGTTTTAATTTGAGATGTTTGTTAAATTATTAAGGACATATCATGTTCATTTAATCATATGTTTAATATTTTGATATATTTGAAACTTGAAACTTGGAACTTTGGATGGGTTCCATGTTTTATTTATAATAATTTATATTTGCATGTTTTATTTTAGGTATTTAGGAATTTGGAGTAGGTTTTATTAAAAAAAAGTAAAAAAAAAACAAAATTTGGCGGATTGGCGAGCCTAACCCGCCAACCCACCCTAGCAGGCCGGGTTGAAATTTTTTCAACCCGTTAGAAAGCGGTCCTAAAAAGCCCAGTCCGCCAAGCTTCAGGCTCATCACGGGCCAACCCATAATCAGCGCGTTGGCCCATATTACCGGTTCTACTTCTTTGGCCTCATTCCTCACTCCTCATAAACCCCAGGACAATCTCATCCCATCATATCTTACATGGCCAAAGAATCTCTCTACTTCCCTTTCTCTCTACCCATCTATTTTTCATCTCAACCATTAAAATTAAAAGATTAACAGTCAAAATTTCATGTTTTTAAAAATAATTTTATAAAATATTTTTTTTATTTTTTGAATTATCCTGACTAAAATTTAGTAATTTTATTTCATTTTATTTATTTATTTTTGAAAATTTGATATTTTAATTATAATTTATAAACATGAAATTTAAACCGTTAAAATTTTAATATTATAGTTGAAATGATAAATGAATAGAAATCAAGAAAAAGAGAAATAGAGACATCCCTTGCCCTATCTTAAACCCCCACCCCAACCCCACCGTAAATATAAATCTCACAATTTAAAACTATATAATATCTGCTGCCAACTGCGTGAAAAGCTATATGATTTATGAGTGTTTTTTTTTATTTATATTTTATAGTATAATATGAGGTTTTTTTTTTTGTAATATTGATGAGTATCATGTGATGTGAATATTTTATTGTAAATAAAGCTGATAAAAATCTTAAATGAGAGTCTTGTACGTTCAATTATTTGTAGCGGCCGCGAAAGGAACCTAGCAAAATATTTCAACGAGAATATATTCCCACATTTTTGTTTATTATTGTTTATAAAAACCCCCCACGAAAATTAAATACTCATGGTTGAGTAATTTCTCAAGAAGCTCATCAAGGTGGTAGTCTTTTTCTTTTAATAATAAATATATAATGAAGGAGAATGAGTATGTCCTAATAAAAATTAGCAGTGGCAACATAATAAGATGGGATCATATGAACTCATAAACGTATATTTCATAATTCATAAATTTAAAATAATTTTTGGAGGGCTTGGAAAGAGAAAGAGTGGGGGAGGAGAGAGAGCATTAAATGCGTGCCACATCACATGCAAATATGCAGTTGCGATGCTTAAGCTTCCCTATTTAAAGCCCCCGAGCCTCTCCTTCCTCTTCGTTCAATATCCAGAGTCAAAACACAGTTCTTTACCCACCAAAAAATCCCAAACTCACTCTCTTCAAAACACTTCCGGCTAAGTCCTTCTCATATCTTCACAGAAATCACCAGAATGGATAATTTGTTTCGCTTCCTTGATCCCCAAGACTTGTCTTCCCGCCGATGTGTTTGGGTCAATGGTCCTGTGATTGTCGGAGCCGGACCATCTGGTCTCGCCACAGCCGCGTGTCTCAGAGAACAAGGCGTTCCCTCCATGGTTCTCGAAAAAGCTGATTGCATCGCCTCTCTCTGGCAACACAGAACCTACGACAGATTGAAGCTTCATCTTCCTAAGCAATTCTGTCAACTTCCTAAACTTCCATTTCCTGAGCACTACCCTGAGTACCCCACTAAGAGGCAGTTCATCGACTACCTCGAATCTTATGCCAAGCACTTCGATATCAACCCTCGATTCAATGAGTGTGTTCAGTCCGCTAGGTACGATGAGACCAGCGGCTTGTGGAGGGTCAAGACTGTTTCCTCCAACGGCGAGATGGAATATATTTGCCGTTGGCTGGTGGTGGCCACCGGTGAGAATGCCGAGCGTGTCGTGCCTGACATTGAAGGGTTGGGGGAATTCAAAGGCGAAATCGTTCACGCTTCTGAGTACAAGTCGGGGGAGAGTTTCAGGGGAAAGAAAGTGCTCGTTGTCGGGTGTGGCAATTCTGGCATGGAGCTCTCACTTGACCTCTGCAACCACAGTGCTTCTCCATCAATGGTTGTTCGTAGCTCGGTGAGTGTCAAATTGGTTCTTAGTTTTTTTTTTTTTTTTAATTGATTTGTAATAAGAATATTTATCTATCTATTTCACTGGGATAAAAAATAATAACCGGCTTCGCTCTGTTTTCGGTATACAGGTTCATGTACTGCCCAGAGAAATCTTTGGCAAATCTACGTTCGAATTGGCTGTTTTCATGATGCAATGGCTACCCCTTTGGCTCGTGGACAAGATCCTAGTGATCTTGGCATGGTTGGTGCTGGGTAACATGGAGAAATACGGGCTTAAAAGGCCATCCATGGGTCCATTGGAGCTAAAGAACACCCAGGGCAAAACCCCTGTTTTGGACATCGGCGCTCTGGAGAAAATAAGATCCGGAGACATTAAGGTTGTGCCAGGAATCAAGAGGTTCAACAATAACGAGGTTGAACTCTACAATGGGGAAAAGCTTGACATTGATGCAGTGGTGCTTGCCACAGGATATCGCAGCAGTGTTCCTTATTGGCTGCAGGTGAGAGAAAGTTCCAATTCCTCTGTTTTCCATTAAAAAAAAAAAAAGTTAATTTTTCTGGAGCTTCTTTTATTATAACGTGGATCAGTAAACTGAAGTGAATTTGGTTATGTTATGAACAGGAAGGTGAATTTTTCTCAAAGAATGGATACCCAAAGAGACCATTTCCTCATGGGTGGAAAGGAAATGCTGGGCTTTATGCAGTTGGGTTTACAAGGAGAGGGCTATCCGGAGCTTCATCTGATGCTGTGAAAATTGCTCAAGATATTGGCAATGTCTGGAAACAAGAGATAAAGCAAGTGAAGCAGCGTACAACTGCCCGCCATAGACGATGCATTTCATGCATCTCCCAGTTCTAAGTCAACAAAACGTGAAGCCAATTCAATTTACTCCTCACAGTGTTGTGTTTCGTAGTCAGGAATTTGTTACTGTATAAACAAATAACAGCATCTCACAAAACAAAGAAATAAAAAATATACTCATATAAAAGCGGACAGCAGAGCCCTCTCCCAAGGCCCAGGTTTTTGTTTGGGCGTTTTTTAACACCAGGATGATGAGGCTTCTTTTTTTAGGCTTTTTAAAGTTGTTTTCCTCCTCATGATTAATACAGCTTATATGTACCAATACTTTACTCATCAAGTTATATTACATGCACACTTTCAACTTTACTTCAATCTCTCTCTCTCTATATTCAAGCTTCCAAGTCACTATTCATTACCTTCTCTATAAACTTTCCCTCAAAAAGGAAAATTATGACAAGGAATATGAACAGATCCCAAAAGTTTAGGGGAAGCCGATGAAGCTTCCTATTACGCTGTCCAGTCCTTATCTGACATTCCTCTAGAACCCAACGATAAACTTGCCAATTCCGAGTGGAGAATTTTCAAAACGATAGACTTTTCTCGACATATGGCTGGTGATGAGAGGGTCCAAGAGACTTTATGAGAGTGTTCCTGGTGCAACGAGTTTCGCTGTTATGCGTTGCGTTTCACACATGGTTTACAATCACGGAAGGAAACGTCATGATTTGCATGGTCTTTTTCTTTACATATGTATTTCAGAGAACTGATCATAGTCCCCAGGTGGGCCAAATAATTAATTTGGGGATCGATCTGCTCATAAACTGAGATGGGTAGGGTCCATAGAAGAGAAAAAGATTGAAGCTCCAACAAGTTCATCACACCCACCCTCCAGAAGCCAATCCTAAAATGTCTGTTTAGATTTCATATCTAGGATTTGACCCAGCCACAGAAAATATAGCAGTTTCACACTTACATATGTAAACTCTAATCAAGTCCATTTCTTACGATGAATTTGATTTACTTCTCCTGTAAATATAATCTACCAAGAAAACTGTTACTGTTGAAAAAGACTAGGGCTTTGACAAAAAGCATAGAAGTTCTTGAACGCGTAGTGTAGGTATTTGTAAGCTAAGCTACTGCATCTTACCAGTTGTTGAAGAAGACCCCAAAGTGAAGTCTAAATGAACACTTTTTGGAAGTAGATGTGGAAGAAAATAGGCCAAATTCACTGCATCATCGATCAACCCGCAAAACTATTGCAAAAGACATTGATCTCACTGGATAAATCTGGGGATCAGGTTTCATGAAAGCTTCATATTCTGAACATAGTCCACTTTCTTTAACCCAACCAATTATATATGAAAACGAATGCCCGTCGGAATTCGTTCGCTACGGTTTTGAATTATTATGATCACAGTAGGTAACAATATTATTGAGAATAAAAATTTTGAACCTTTTTGTTGGATTATTTTGTTACTTAAAACTTTTAAGGGGTAAGCCGACTAACAAATTGTTCATGAATTCGCAGCTGAGAAATTTAGCGACAAGTATAAAATATTGTCCCCACAAACGCGTCCTTTCTCATTGCCAAAACTAGTTACTGCTATGCGTTATATATGCATTGTTCGGCATCTTCCCAACCTTCAAAATATCTTTAACAGTTTCTCTTTTTAGTTTTTAGAAAGAAGAGATGTTATCAGGAGAATAAAATTTTATCAGAGAAAAAGAAAATTACACTTGTCTGTGTAAAACATGAAAAAATATTTTTTTTCTCATTTTGTCTAGTATTGTTTGAAAATGACTCTATTCAGTGTCAATTTTTTTAACGGGAAAAAAACCTATAAATTAAAAATACTTATTATAAAATTATTTTTAATTTTAAAATATTACTAAATCATTAGACGTTTTCATTCTAAACTTTTGAAATATAATTTTGATATATTTTAAAATTCTGATAATGTGCACTAACAGCAACTGAAGTGAATAGAAGAGAGACTCAATTCTCTCTAAGTGTTGGCCAAAAAAAAAAAAATTCTCTCTAAGTGAGAAGGTTAAAAAAATTTTAAAAAAAAATTATCATGTTGAGAAGGTTACTATAACTGTGGCCAGCAATAATATTGAAATATAATGTGGCTATGATGTACAAAATAATTATTATTAAAAAAAAAAATCTTCTACAGTAAAAGTATACATGCTGTAACAGGAACACAGATGTGAAATATATGCTTACATGTACGGGTGAGTTGGAAAAGCGGGAGACAAGCCATATGAGAGCCCATAATGCTGAGCGATTCATAATTATTTATAAAAAAGAAATGAAATGAATAATAATTCACCACAAGAACCTCTCAAGCAGCCAAATCAGACCCTGGACATCGATAGAGTTCCCTTCTTCTTCAGTTTGTCGTGTTTCTTTCTTCCTCTCTTTACTTCGATGCTTCCGACCCCTTCTACTCAAACACGCTCACTATTGAATGCATTATTCAAATTTAACACATGCCTTGCCTTTCATTATTCTTCCCCATTACAACCCCATATCATTCTTCTTCTCCTGCCTTTTATTGCTCAAATTATATATATGCGAATCACGACGTGTTTTAATTTCTTCACATGCTTCTGTCAAATAACATGTACACTATCATCAGAAATGCAAGCATTATATATGTCTGAGATATATAAGATTGGTTCTATAAACATATGCTGCTTTACTTATAGCTTTTTTGTTTTCTTTGGCCAAAGCTTGATGAACCCACTTATTTGCAGCTTCATTTAATCAGTAGGTTTAAATCTTATTATGTCTACGTTCATGTTTTGTACTTTGTACTCTTTAAGTACTCATGTACTGCTGCTAAATCAGCCTGGCTTTGGTTCTCTTACGTACAAGCACTGGAAGGATTATGCATGTTAATTATTGAGGCTCTTAACTCTCAATTATATATATTTTTGCACATCAAATATATGTTTAGCTTTGGTCTCGTCATTTGAAGTTGAACTTAATTTAAAACTCGAAATGATAATACTACATCCTTCGAACTCAGCTTCTAGCTTTTTCCAAAAGTTCGGGATCGATCAAGATATACGTGTATAAAACATGTTGGGTGGACAAGAGCAGTGATTCTCTCTGTAGGCTGTCCTAGTTGTCCGACCATTGTGGCGTGTTTGGTCATGTGTAACAATAAAACAATGGTGCTATTACTATCACACAAGAGGTGGGATAATGTCCAAACAAGTTGTACTAGAATGTGGGCCATGCACTGAGCTGAGACTTTAGCTTCCAGGTTAACACTGCAAGCTCAGTCCAAAACCAGACAGCTATGACTGTGATACATGCTTTGGCTCACTGCAACAACACCCCCTCTAGCGCGCTAGTGTACAAGTCCATTGATTCTAGATCATATTAACATCTTGGAGATTGAACCTATATATATAGTCAAAAAGGCAGAAACAGGAAGAAAATAAAGGCATTCATTAGAAACAAACCTGTTACTGGAGAGCCAATGATGAAGTTGAACTGTATTCTGCAGAGGCTAATATATCAGTTACATTATTTATCAGCAAGCTGGGGAAGTGATTCTAGATCAACTTGATTTCTTATACATAGTGACATGTTTCTCGGGGCAACATCAACGGAGTGAAACTTTTTCAAGTGATGAGCAGACAAAACAACTGAATAGGACCAGTAAACGGGCATGAGGGTTTTGTGCTTTTTCTCCAGCTCCATCGTCTGAAAGTGGCCATCTCGCTTTCGACCAGTTCCCACCATAGTTGGTCATCCTCAATGTCTTATCCTCTTAGGTTTATCGTGACAGAAAAATTTAAGTTGGTTCTTATGGCGAGCCAACTCCTGCGAGCTCAATGATTGCCTGTCAATGAAAGATCCATAAATAGACTAGGTTTAATACATACAATTCTATGTGTCAATGTCATTAAAGTAATTTCCTAAATAAAACACCACAAGTGCCTGGTTTTGTTCAGTGATAACATCACCACTTTATGCTTTAATTTGATTATATATACACATAGTTATAAGAATCATACATTTACATGCGATTTGCTTAATATTTTTCAAAATCAAACCCAACACGTAAAAGGGACTTTTTTCCTTTGTGTGTGTCAGAAGGGTTTGAACTCTTGATTTCTAACCATATTACGTTTCACTTTTATCACTTGGTTTAATCTTGATTGATTGTAAAAAGGAGAAAAGGAAATTTTAGGATTTAAAAAAAGTATAGGAACTAGCTAGTCTTCTTTTTTGCCCTAGTTGTCATTATATAGTTTATTATTGCGTTTTCTGGTGGGTCAATTTTTGGTGCCAGTTTGTCTGGACTCGTCTTTGTCTTCTTCTTCAGATCTTTTTCCCAACCGCATGAATGGTCATCGATGACCCAGTGATTACGTAAACCTTGACGCAGAGAAGCCCATGTAACTCAATTGTCCAAAGGCCTAAAAATTGGTTCACAGTACCCTTTTTTTTTTTTTTTCACCTGAAAAATCGGTTCACAGTTCAGATTCTTCAATTCTTTAGTTCTCGCACCTTGTGACATGCAAACGATTGGGAAGTACTACCTTCGGTCCTTAACTGTGATTCCAAACGAGGCTTAAAATCTAAATGGAGTGCAAACTCGACTCGACGGCTCGCCTTTTGGGCCAGACAACCAACAAAGAAAAATGGACAACAAAAAACAAACCTAGTGACTTGCCTCATGGATTTATCACACTAAAATTTGTGATTACCCTGAAGATAATGCTCAGACAGACAGATTGATAGCTATGACTGAATGTTATTCTGTTACCCATATCCCAATCCATCTAACCAAGCAACTATTCAATTCATTTACATTTTACAACCCTTGCGTTTGAGGGGGAAAAAGAACTTAAGCTTTCGCCTGCATAAATCTGAAGCTTTTTAAGTCGCATAATCTTTAGTAAAAAAATACACAAGTAAAAATGCAAAAATACCTCCTGAACTTCCTTAAAACTGAAAACTACTTTCGTCTCTCAGTTTTCATCCCATCAATATTTTTTTCCGATCAAACCTTTTTCTCGCGCGCGGACATAATAAACTACATGAAGAATAAACATTAATAAGAGGGAAAAAAATAACAATATGCTACTTCCGGTCTTAAATATAAAACTCATTTTGTAGTATAATTTATATTAAGAAATACATTTTATATTCAAGACTGGAGGAGTAAAATTTCTTTATTATGAAATTAAAATACTTGCTCATTATCTTTTTTATATTTTTCTATTGGAGACAATCCTTAACTCATCAGGTTATGAAAGACTAGTC